TGTGCATGTATGAGGACCTGAGTTCAGATCCCCAGCACCCATGTAAAAGCCTGGCGCAGCAGTGTGCATCTGTGACCCAGCACTGGGAGAGGCAGAAATGTGTGGATCCCCAGAGCTTGCTAGCCAGCTAGTGAGCTAGCTCCAGGGTCAGTGAGAGGTGAGAGATGCTATCTCCAAAAATAAGCAAGAGAGAGAGAGAGAGAGAGAGACAGGTGCTGGGAATCCACCTTTGCCCTCCACGTGCATACCTGCACATGCTCACACTGTTCACACACAGACAAATCATGTTTACAGGCACTACATGTGAGTAGCACACTCCTATAGACTAAAATGTCCCTCGGATCATCACCACACACAAAACAAGAAGCAGTGTGCTGTTCTGTGCACTTGGCACTTTCTTGTGGGAATTCCCACAAACCCCTGTGACTGAGTGACATTGCAAGAAACAGATAAATGATTCATTTGTCCAAAGGAGCAGCTTATACTTTAAGTAGAAAACTTGACCTTTTGTGTATGTTGTGATACTCTTAGTGAGAATTTACATTCTTGACAGTTCTTTGTACCTATACAGTGATGGCCTCAGTGGAAATACATGGAGCCTCTTTAAAAGCCGAAGCCTGCCTGTTGAGGTGCTTCAGCACTCAGAAGCAGACATAAAACACTCGCCTTTTTGCTACTTAGCAAAAACACTGCTAAAAATATGGCTGCTTGGTACTACAGCCTGCATCCAGCTGGAATCAAACCAAGCTCCAGGCTCCAGGCTCCAGGGCCAAGCAGGGTCAGAGCTTAAATTCAGGCTTTGTGGGTGTTTATGGCAAAGTACTGAAGGGAAATCTGTGATCTGAAGTCCAGAAACCACTGTCTTGGTTGTGGGCACCAAATGTGCTCATCTTCACCTTTCTGATAAGCATTCCCCAGGAGGGTCCAGCTGTCTCTCAAGGACATTCTGTAGGTGACACTAGAAACACTAACATTTACCTTAGCAGTGCAGTTATCATACTGAAAAAGGGGGTGCCCATGCCAGGATCCATGGAGTCACCTTGGCCTTTTGTGACTCTAAAGGAACTGAAAAGAAAGTGAAGACTTGGATGCTTCTGAAGAGCATGGAGTCAGTCTAGTTCACCCCACAGCAAAAGCTTGGAGAGCTTCCCCCTACCTAATCTCTGCTCCCCTAGCACCAAAACCATGGAGTTACCTGCTTTCAAGCACCCTGGAAAACTAACACTCAGCAGAAATCTGCCCTCCTGAGCCCTTTCTCCATACCCAGCATCATTAAATAAGGCAAATGTTAACATGATGCTGCTGTGTCAGCCAGAACACGGTAAAGGAAATGCCTGCCAGGCTGTGAGACTCTCAGGCTGATAGCTCTGTGTGACCAGATAAGGAATGATGGGAGATGACTGTAGAGTTGCTTAGAATAAGACTAGGGGAAAAATTTTATCAGTCACTTTGTCTCCAGAACCCATTATATGGATAGCCCAGAATAGGTCTATCAGATCTCATTAAGCTACTTTCAACAGATAGAATTGATTTCTAAATCATCATGGTGTACGTAGAGGTGTAAACCCTGGGAGGGTTCAGTTTTCCCAAATTATTTTTATGTCTCATAGCTGTCGTACTCATCCAGTTGACACCTCCAAGGAGTCCTTCATCCTTTGGGAGTGGGGTGTGCAAGAGGAATGCCATCACTGAGAGAAATAAGATGGATATCCTTTGGGACAAGGGAGGTGTTGACCTGGTGTCACTGCTCTGTGAAAGGCCACACCTGCCTCCAGAAGGTTCCATCACCCTGGACCCTGTGGGTCTACAGGTGCCCCCTTGTACACTTTTACATCATGGACCATGAATATGGGTCTGACCTCTGTCTCCACCTCTAGGATATAACATTATGTATGAACCTTGTGTTTAAACTTTTTGACTGTAGTTGCTCAGGCCTCCAGAAGGCTGCAGCAGCCTGGACCCTGTGGGTCTACAGGTGCCCCCTTGTACACTTTTACATCATGGACCATGAATATGGGTCTGACCTCTGTCTCCACCTCTAGGATATAACATTATGTAGCATGAACCTTGTGTTTAAACTTTTTGACTGTAGTTGCTCATTTAGAACCAGTCACCTTTTTTGAGCAGGAGCTGGAGGTTACGCAGACAATGACCTTGGAGCCGTTTCAACCACAGGACATGGAGAAAGTATCCTGAAAGTGAATCTGGCCAGACTGGCCCTCTTCCATGTAGAACAAGGTACGTAGGCTGTGAGCAGGACAAGTTCATAGATGCTCTTTGGTCGCTGGCGGGATAATGTATGGAACCTTCCTTGCCCCAAAGCATTTCATGCTATTCTAACACGTTTCTACATTCTGGTAGGATCTGAACTAGAAGAACCTTTAGAATATTGTTCTAGAATATAGCTCTCTGGGCTGGGAAAATCCCTCAGTGTGTAAGAACGCTTGCTGCATGAGCATGAAGACCTGAGTTCAAATCCCAAGGAGGTGTAAAAAGTCAGGTTTGGCTGTGTAGGTGCCTATAGGCACACCTCAGCACTGTGAAGGTAGAGACAAGAGTACCACTGGGGTTTTCTGGATGACAGTGTGGGGGAAAAACCAGCAAACTCCAGGTTCAGTGAGAAACCTTGTCTCAAGGGACTAAGGCAGAGCATGATAGAGTAAGACACCTGGTGTCCTCTGGGCTTCCATGCACATTTGTGGGCACACACACAAGGGACTAAGGCAGAGCATGATAGAGTAAGACACCTGGTGTCCTCTGGCTTCCATGCACATTTGTGGGCACACACACAATACATGCCTGCCATTCTCTATCACATGCCCCCAGAAAGCAAGGCAATACAGGCATTGAGCTTGACCACGGTGCAAGAGAAAAGATGTCTCTGTCCCCTTTAAGTGTGCATGTTGTCGTAGTTTGCTGGTTGGTATGACCAGATCCCTGAGAAGGAGCCCCTTAAGGATGTTTGGGAAGCATGGGCCACCGTGATGGGCAGCTTTGTGGCCGTGGGAATGCGCGGCAGTTGCTTGCTCATATCTCAGTGGACCAGGAAACAGACAGGATAGGAGGCAGGGCCAGTCCCCACCCCTTCTCCCAGAGCCCACTTTCTCCAGGGAAGCCCAGCCGTGGATTTCACAATGTCCCAAAGCAGCGACACAGCTGGCATCCAGGTGTCCAAACTTGGGAGCCTGTGAGGATTATCACACGTGATGTTTCTCACCCTCTCTTTGTTTTTCAGGAAAGACTGTAGATGAGGCTGCTGAGTTGGCATTGAATTACATGAAGTCAAAGCTCAAAGGTCTAGGTGGCCTCATCTTGGTCAACAAAACCGGAGACTGGGTAGCAAAGTGGACCTCTACCTCCATGCCCTGGGCGGCAGTGAAGAATGGCAAGCTGCAGGCCGGCATTGATCTTTGTGAAACCAGGACCAGTGACCTGAAGTAAGCCCCAGAAGATTGCAATCTGCTTGCTAGCCTCGAGGTGAAGCTGAACTGCCTGGTGTGGAGACCTAGCCTAATCAATTAGACTAGACATGGAAAACTTACGCAGTCTGTCCCTCCTTTTGTTGCCTTAGTCAATAAGTCAATGAATGTTTGGTTGAGGGTTGGGTTCTGGAGCGATGAGAGATGCCTGTGGTAAGACCAGTGAAGATGGAAGCCTTAGGGAGCCCTTCTTTCCCAGTCTCCATTGCACAGGCTATAAGGGAGCTGCTAGATTTTGATCACAGAACTGCCTCTGGGCTGGTAATGCCTTGTGGACTGGGAGAACAGCAATTTGCAGAGGTTAGGCTGGGAAGGTGTGGGAGGAAGGTCTGAAGAAAGGTGTCTGAGAGAAAGACCCAGGTCCAGGTGATGCTCAAAATGTTACAGAGTTCATTCTGAGTCACAAACACCTGGCAAGGTGTGCAGGGAGGATCTTCATCAGTGAGGGGAAACGGATCTTTCCAGAAAGCTCACACTTCTCCAACACATGTCTAGGTATTTGAAGAGTCTCAATAGCTGTAGACTAATGGGGTCTGTGGGCTTTCTTAACGTCTGGGGTTTTTTCTTGGCTCACAGGTGAGCTCCCAAAAGCCAGCCCCTCCTGACCCCAGCCCCTGTTGTCTTCACATGGGCTTGCTTGGGCTCATGACCTTTCCAGCCTCTCCAGCAGTGGGTTGGCAGACGGCTGGAGAGGTGATACTGACTCACTGAAGGAGTAGACTGCCAGTGCTTTGGGACAGTCCCACACACACTGAATCGAACGTTCAAGGTAGCGAGCATGACGCAGAATGCAGGCTCCTCAGTGGAGAGCGTCCTGTGCACCTGCCGTCACCCTGGAAATGACGTGTCTGCTCAGCTTTTTAGTCTATCAGGGATTCCCTTCTCTCTGGGAAGAAACTGGTTAACTTTCAATTCCACATGCCACTAATAAAATGTGTTTTTAAAAGAATAAGTGTGGTTAGGTGTCACTGTTGACCAAGGCCAGAACAGATACAAGCTCCCCTCTTGGTCCCTCAGTGCAGGCAGATATAAAAATGAGGGGCCTTTTAAGGGTGATATGAAAGTGTGTTATATCCTGCTTCATGGGGTTTAGTGGGGCGTTTTTTAGAAGCATTGAACTTTCTCGAGTGTTAAAGCAGAAACAAAACCACCATTTCCAAGTCTCAGCCAGACTCATGGCTCTGTCTGCCCAACACTTTGCCCAGCTTCACAGTGGCTCCGGACCCCGGGCTCTCTTGTGAGCCTGTGCTGCTCTGCATTAAAGAGAATGAGAGGCATGGAGTCAGAATGGAGCTTGAGGCTGCCCTCCTCACTACCATGGGACCCTGGGAATGTTAGCACTCAAGAATTTTTCATCTATGAAAATCCTCTAGGACTCTGAAGATTAAGTGAAAGTGAAGAAAAACTTAGTACATCAAAGGATCCTCTGGACAAATTCAGAAACTAGTCAGTCCCCAATATGAGGACAGTTACGCATTTATAAGCCTTGAAGGCCTGGATATGCAGTACCTGCTGCTTTAGCAGGAAGCATTTTGTTAAGAGCTGTATTTGTTTGCTAGTGTTGCTACAACAAAACGCCTTAGGCTGGGTGGTCTAATTATCAGAAGTGTGTTTTCTCAGTTCTGGACACTGGAAGTCCAACATCAAAAGATGGAATTTTGGTTGGTTGGTTGGTTGGTTGGTTGGTTAGGTTTGTTTTTTTGGAGAAGTGTGTTTTCTCAGTTCTGGACACTGGAAGTCCAACATCAAAAGATAGAATTTTGGTTGGTTGGTTGGTTGGTTGGTTGGTTAGGTTTGGTTTTTTGGTTTTTGATTGTTTCTGGTTGGATACTTGGTTGGTTGGTTTGTTGGTTGGTTGGTTGGTTGGTTGGGTTGGTTGGGTTGGTTGGTTGTTTGGTTGTTTGGTTGGTTGGTTGGTTGGTTGGTGGCTTTAGAGAGTAATAGGTTTTTTTTATTATTGTAATTCTGTTTTTTGAGACAGAATCTCTCTGTATAGGCCAAGCTGGACCTTTGAATTCTCAATCCTTCAGACTCAGCCTCCGAAGTACAGATATTATGGGCCCATAGACATGTACCATCCTGCCTGGCCACCTAACATGAGATTTTTCCCTGAATATACAGAGCCCAGTCATGTAAACTCAGATTTCCCCAGCCCCACAACACCCTCAGTTTTAAGTTCATCACTTGGTGGCCCTGTCCCCAGATACAGTCATGTTCTGAGTTACTGAGGAAGGAAGGAGCTTAGAGATCCGTCCTGTGAGCTGAAGGAGCAGCAGCAGACAAAGCAAAAGTCGTGGCGGGGCTTGAAAAGGGAAGAGGCCCTTTGAAGACAATAACAGTCACTAGATAACTGGAAAAAAGGGATGGGGACAGAGAAACCAAACGGAAGATCTGATCCTGGGCTTCTCTGTTCTGCCAAGCACAAGGGAGGTAGCACTAGTTAAGAGACTATTATATCCTTTTCCACTATGCAGGCTGCTGGTTTGTCTTATTGACAGTGTCTTTTGCTTTACAGAACCTTTTCAGTTTCAGGAGGTCCCTTTTATTAATTGTTGAGCTCAGTGTCTGTGCTACTGGTGTTATAATCAGGATGTTGTCTCCTGTGCCAATTCATTCAGGACTGATATCCAAAATATATAAAGAACTCAAGAAATTAGACATCAATAAACCAAATAATCCAATTTAAAAATGGGGTACAGATATAAACAGAAAATTCTCAACAGAGGAATATCAAATGCTTGAGACACACTTAAAGAATTGCTTAACATCCTTAGTCGTCAGGGAAATGCAAACAAAAATGACTCTGAGATGCCATCTTATACCAATCAGAATGGCTACGATCAAAAACACTAATGTCAGCTTATGCTGACAACAATATGGAGTAAGGAGAACACTCCTCCACTGCTGGTGGAAATGCAATCCTGTACAGTCACTTTGGAAATCAATATGGCAGTTTCTCAGAATATTAGGAATCAGTCTACCTCAAGACCCAGCTATGCCACTCTTGGACATACACCCAAAGGATGCTCCATCATTCCACAAGGACACTTGATCAACTATGTCTGTGGCAGCCTTATCCCTAATATCCAGAAGCTGAAAACAACCTAGATGTCCCTCAACCAAAGAATGATACATTTACACAATGGAGTATTACTCAGATGTTAAAAAACTACATCAGGAAATTTGAAGGTAAATAGATGGAACTAGAAAAATCCCCAGCGAGGTAACCCAGACCCAGAAAGACAAACATGGTATGTACTCATCAGTGGATATTAGCTGTAAAGTAAAGGACAACCATGCTACAATTCACAGCCCCAGAGAGATTAGGTAACAAGGAAGGCCCAAAGAGGGACACATGGATTTCCCAGGGAAGGGGAAAGAGAAGAGGTCTCTTGGGTAGACTGGGGGCTGGTGAAGATGGGAACGTGAGGGATTGGGGTGGAGGGGGTAAATGGAGGGAGAGAGTAATGAAAAACACCTTTTGTTTTGTTTTCTGATTTTCAAGACAGGGTTTCTCTGTATTGCTTTGAAGGCTGTCCTGGAACTTGCTCTGTAGACCAGGCTGGTCTCGAACTCACAGAGATCTGCCTGCCTCTGCCTCACAAGTGCTGGGATTAAAGGCGTGCGCCACCAATGCCCAGCCCAGGGGAGAGTAATGAAAGAGACTTCTTGATGGGGAGGGAGTTCATCATGTAAAAACCTGCTGCAAGGGAAATTCCCACAAATTTACAAGGATGATCTCAGCTAAGATTCCTAGCAATAGTGGAAAGGTGGCCTGAATTGGCCATCTCCTGTAATCTGGTTGATAACTGCCCCAGTTGTCATCCGAGAGCCTTCATCCAGTGACTATCAGAAACAGATCCATAGTCAAGCACTGGGCTGAGCTCAGGGAATCCTGCAGAAGAGAGGGAAGAAGGATTTTACGAACAGGGGTGGGGGAGGGTGGGGGGTGTCAAGGTCATTACACAAGGGAATGAACTAACAGAAACAACTAACCTGGGCTGATGGGAGCTCACAGACTCTGAACCAACAGAGTCTGCATGGGACTGACCTAGGCCCTCTACATATGTGTAGCAGTTGTGTAGCATGATCTACTTGTGGGACTCCTAGTGGAGGAAGCAGGGCCTGTCCCAAACACCTTGGCTGGCTTTGGGAACCTATTCCTCATACTGGATTGCCTTGCCCAGCCTTAATACGAGGGAGGTGCTCCATCCTACCTAACTCGATATGCCATGTTTGGTTGACACCAATGGGAGGCCTGTCCTTTTCTGACCAGAAACAGAAGGAGTGGATTGGGGGTGAGAAAATGAAAGAAGAGGAGGAAGGGGAAACTGCAGTCAGGATATAAAAAGAATAATGAATAATTGTAACAAAAATAAATAAGATTTTTAAATATAAATAAATAAAAGACCACTAGATGCTCGGCTGTGACTTACTGGGCTGAGCAGCTGTGGCCCCAGGTTGCCTAATGGTCAACCCCTTTGTGTAGAATCCCAGTATTTATTTTTGCATTCAGATCTTGGTTCTAGTGAAATCCACCAGAATTCCCTAAGTGGAGACCACAAATGGCTCTCACTTTTGCCTCACACATCAGTAACAAACTAGCTAAACAAACTGTCCAGGAGAGAATGATGATCGGCTGTGTGAGCACTTCTATACCACAAGAGGGCAGCAAAGTACACCATGTGGGTCGCTTTCAAGGACTCAAGCGGAGTCTGGCTCAGCATAACCTACCCTACCCAGAACATTTACCATTGACCGGGTTCCTGATCCCAACCAACCTTTCCACCCAGACACCACACTTATTTTAGAGCAGAGCTGTCCACCACCCAGGCCTGTTGCAGGCCATCAGGGCCCAAAGGTCAAGCTGCCCGCCCTGCCTTCAGTTAGTTGTACCTTTCAGCCAGAAAGACAGGTCACTACCAGCCAAAATGGTGGGATAATTAGGACCAGGAGAAGACCAGAGCCTAGGCTCTACAAGAAGAGACATGGGAGCCAGCCCTCTGCTGAGACATGGCCGAGATAGAAGACTCAGGTAAGAAAGGGTCTCTACCTTAGGAAATGGTTTTGTGTTTTCAAATAAGCTTTGTGATTTGGTCCTTGTTGGCACACGGGATGGTGGGGTGGGTGTCCCTGTCATGAGAAATTGAGGGTGAAGGAAAGCTAGGCAAGGTCACTCCTCCCAGGTCCCCTTTACTCATCTTTGTACAAAACCTCACTGCATTTGGGTTCTATAGCTATTCTAGGGCAACAGAGAGCTTGCCCCGAGAGAACACTGCTGTCCTGCTCCCTGCAGAGGGGTCTCTGTGACCCTGGGAGAATGGGGGTGGGGGTAGTAGCAGAAGTCAGAAGTGGACCCCAGGTCAGGACCAAGGAGATGTTTGATCCCTGGGTAGGACTGGGGCAGGTGGGTGTGGTATATGGGTGCCATTGTGACTCTCTCCACAGGGAGGATAAATGCCACATGTGGACATCCAGGAAGAGGTGAGCCATAGTGAGTTCTGAGAAATCAGAAATGGGTGAAGAAAACTTGGGGACCCTCCAGACCTTGTGAAAAATGATCATTAAAAAAGAGAGATAAAGCCAGAGAGACTAGAGTGCCCCTGGGGCATGTTAAATCTATATTTGTGTTAGCTTCCCCATTCACCAGTCCTGTGGTTCCTACTCTGATGTCATCCAGATGTAGGGGCAGCCCAAAAGCACTCTGGGTCAGAGGCTGGGAAAACCAACTCATGCATCTTGCTTGTGCACACTTTATGCTTCAAATTCTGTTTTTCCTCAACCCAACATTAAAGTGAAATTGGGTTTTCAGAACCCAAGCTCCTGAGTTCTGCACAGAATCTAGAAAGTGCTGATAATTGTACAGTAGTAGAGGTTAGACATGATTGGATTACTAAACAAGCCAGTGGGAGAGAATTTAACCAATATCATCTCAGAGTTAGTATCTACCATGCAATTAGCAGAGCTTTGTAGATTCCATACAGGATGGGAGCTTGGGTTCCAAGCTCTACCCAGAAGCAAAGAGGTTGGAGGCAGATGCAATGGCACACCCTGTATCCCCAGCACTCGAGAGGCTGAAGCAGGAGGCTCAGGAGTTCAAAGCCAACCTGGGCTACGTGAGACACTGTCTGATAAAACAAAATCAATAGGCTGAGTCTTTGTCCTGGAAGACAAAGACTCAATGGTCACCACTTAGTACCTAGGTGGGACTCAGATTCTTATCTTAAATGCCAGCCATCTTTCACTGAATGTGTTTAAGAGAAAAATTCCTCTGAATCTGAGCACAGTGGTGCACATGTAGTCTCGGGTTCTTGGAGGGATGAGACAAGAGAATTATTTGGACCCAGAAGGAAGTTCAAGTCTATCCTGGATATTACAGCAAATCCTATCTCAACAAAAAATAACCTTTAATGCAACAAAGGCATGCGAACTGTAGACATGTAAAAACAGCAGTAACAGCTTGAAAGATGGCTCAGCCTCAACAGGCTTGGTGTGAACACAAGAGGTCCTGAGTTCATACCGCCCCAGGCACCTATGTAAAAAGCCAAGCATGGTGTTGCAGGCATGTAACTCCAAATCTGGGAAACAGAGACAGGAAGAC